ATGGGTGTTATTTAGGAGGCCTGGTCAGTCTATGGGGCCTCTGGTAGTAGATCAGTCTTTATCCCTAGTGTATGAATGACTTTGGGAGTCCCCCACCGAGGGATACTCTCTCAACAAAGACACATGGGAAAGGGCCTAGGCCCTGCCCCAAATGATGTGACAGACTTTGATGATCCCCCATGGAAGGCCTCCCTGGGGAGTGGATGGGGGGGTCAGTGGGAGACAGGGTAGGAGGGAAGGGAGAGGGAACTGCGATTGAAATGTAAAATAAGATTGTTTCTAACTTAAATAAAAAATAAAAATAAAGAAATAGAATTACTCCCTTTGAAGAGGTTATAGGGAAATTTTTAATTACATATAAAATGTTTGTTACCTTAAACCACCTACTGTAGGCAGCATCTTTTCGGAGTGTTTTAGGTTGAAACTTGTTGTCCTCCACAGACCTGTAAGTTGACAGACTGGTCACCAGAAACTACTATGTGGTGGGAGAACCTTTGGGGGCAGGGCCTGGGGAAGGAAGTTAGGTCACTGGGTATGGGTGGGAGGGGACTTTAAAAGAGATGTTGCTTCCCAGAAACCGAGAGGTGAGCAGCCTTCTCCACAGAGTGCTCCTCACCATCAAGTACTGTGCCTTACCTCCAGAGGCCCACAACAACAGAAACCAAGAGCCAAAGTAACTCTTTTCTGTGTGGTTGTGGTCCATATCCCGTCACCCCCCCACCATAATCCAATGTTCTCCCTCTGCTGAGCATGCTCCCAGTGCTCCCCTCCTTCAAGTTTCTCGGGTATTCTGTTGCAGTGACAGGAAGTGGCTAGCTCATAGGAGTCCTCTTTCCTTTCCCTGAAGCACTGAACACAAGATCCATGTCATAACAGATTCTTTGGCCAGACGTTCTCATAGGTCCCTTGTAGACTTCCTTCAAGTATATGTACATTGCGTCCTGTCTTCAAAATCCTAAGGTGTTTCTCATCCTCTACCATCCCCCAACAGCTGTCTGTGTATCCTGGCCTGTCCTCAGCAACAATCCTTCTAGACTGTTTTAAGCAAAACATCGCAGCACCTGTGCTTCCCCTTAAACATGTTCCATTTACTGATTGCCCTTCCTGCCCCTTGGCTGCCAGGTCCCACTTCACCATGCTACAGGCACAGTTGAGTCTAATCTCTCACGAACACTGTAAGAACTGGCTGTGAAAAAAAAAAGAACTGGCTGCGGGGGTTCCTGTATCTACCTCAGCAGCCCTGAATGGACTCTTCCTTGCTGTGATTTAACAAATACTACTGAACAATATTTCTTTAACAGTGGATAATCAGGAATTGTTGAACGAACAAATAGAACTATACAGATACACACATCAGCACCTAAGAAAGACACACAGACACAGACACAGACACACGCACACACACACACACACACACACACACACACACACGAATGTATTTGTGAGTGAAATTAATTCATAGTAAAAGGAAAATGAAAACTGTAGTACATTATATCAGATATTCTTAAAACAACAAACCAAGCCTATAGTCCCCCATGGAATAACGTCATTAACAGTAAATTTCGTAGATAGGAATGGCAGAATAATTTCAGTTGTACTTTTAAGTGTATTTGAATATTCTTAGAAGACGGTTAATGACGCTGTGGTGGTTTAGATGAGAAATGCCCACCCCATAGTCTGAGGTCTTTGAACTCCTAGTCCCTGTTGTTGACCCTGGGAAGGTTTAGGTATTACACTCTAATGGTAAGAAGTCAGTGGCTGGGTCTGAGCTTTGAGATTAAAAGCGTTTGCCCACTTTCAGTTTGCTCTCTGTGTCATGCTGGTAGTTAAGGTGTGATCTCACAGCTTCCTACTTGCCTTCTTGCCATAACAGACTCTTATCCCTCTGGAACCACAGGCCAAAATAAGCTGTTTATTCTTAATTTGCCTTTGCTGTGGAATTTTATCACAGCAACAGAAAAGTAACTAAGTAGATGCTCTTTGTAGAAGTCAATAGGTTGAGGGAAATAGTTTTTTCTCAAACACTGGGTATCATATGACATTTTAAATACTTTTTAAATTTTAGTTGACACAATAATTTCATGTATGTGACACGGTGTAACAATTTGTGTACTCAATATATGATAATCAGGTCAGAGAAACTGGTATATGTTTGTTTTGGTAAAGCCCAGATCCATGTATACCAGGCTAGCCTTAAAGTCACTGTACTGCTGAAGATGACTTCATACATCTGATTCTCCTGTCTCTTCCTCCTAAGAACTGGAATTTCAGTCATAACTATATCAGGGTTATATGGTTCTGGGTATCCGGCTAGGCAATTACTGTGCTAACTGATGTACTTCCCCAGTCAGATAATAGATGTATCTTATTAACTCCAACATCACCTCTTTGTATTTGAAATATTCAAAATACACCCTCCCCCAAGATCTGGGAACCATGATTCAATCCTTTCCTTTTTAAATATTAACATTTTAGATTCTGGATAACAGTAAGAACATATGCCTTCTGTATTTCTTTACCAACTTACTTCCCTTGACAGACAAAATGTCCTCCAGTACCATTCATGTTTCTGTAAATGCCATTATTTCATTATTTTTATAACTAAAGAATATTTAACTGGATCCGTCACATTTTTATTCATTTACCCATCACAATATCTTTGCGATTATGAATGCTAATTCAGTAAGCATGAGAGTTCAGAGTGTTTCACAGGGCATTTTCATTCTTTTTGGATATATGCCCAGTAATGGGACCACTGGGCCATATGGTGGTTTACTTTCAGTTTTAGGAACTACACTGTGTTTTCCACAGTCTGTGTGAACTTGAGAATTTGCCTTTCTTTGCATCCTTGTTTCCACTTTATCCCCTTTCTACCCATCCCTGTCCTTGTCCCTCTTCTCCGTCTCCCCCATCTCTATCATTTGATATCCTGTTGTGCTTTTGTTCATCTCCCTGAAGATTTATGATGCTGGGCATTTTCCTTATGCTTTTTGGCGGTTCCATTTTTTATTTGGGTTATGTGTTGGTATGGTTGTTTCAAAAACTGACTCGAGTCCCTTATACATTCTAAAACTTAGTCCATTATACAACAAATGATCTACCATCCTACCTCCAGGTCTGTGGCCATCATTTTATGACGTTGTTGTTGTCTTTTTTTTTTCTTTGTTGTATGAAAACATGCTTGGCTCAGTAAAGACTCAACATTCACTTTTGCCTTGGTTACTTATGCTTTCTGGGTAATTAAAAAAAACTGTCAGACCAGTGTCCAAATATTTTCCTTATGCTGTCTTCTGGGGTTTTCCTGTCTGACATTTAAGTCTTGATCCATTTTCCATTGACTTTTATGCACAGTACAAGATAGGAATCCAGTTTCTTTGCATATAGATTTCCAGTTTTCTCAGATCCTTTCATAAAAGGATAGTACTTTTTCCAGGGTGTGATTTTACTACTTTTATTGACATCAGCTGGTTTTAAAAACATGATTTACACTCTGGGTTCTCTTTTCAACTGGTTTATGAGTCTGGTTTTAAGTGACTGGGGTTTTTTAGCTTTTTAGATCAGCCTGGCCTTGAACTCACAGAGATCCGCCTTCCAAGGGCTAGGATTATGGGCCTGCACCACCACAGGCTGTCTTTAGTTGTTGTTTTGATTCATGTCAATTTCTAGTACGTTTTGAAAACAGATATTGTCATACCTACAGCTTTGTTCAGAATACTTTAGCTATTTGGGAATCTTTTGTGGTGCAAACAATTTTCTTTCTGTGAAAAGTATTGATATTTTGGCACAGTCCATTAAATACCCAGATAAGTTGGGGGTAGTGTGTGTTAGATTATTTAAAGAGCAGTTGTGGAGAGAGGGAGCATGGAAATAAAGAGATGCTTTATTTGGTTTGACCTTAGGTGGGACAGTGTGTACTCATGGGCAGGGTGCACTTTTGTCACCCATATGGGCAAAGGGTTGAAATGTCTACAGAGGAAGATGGGAGGTGGCTCCTTATAGAGGTGGGAATGACATCCATAATCCTCAAGGACACTGAAATCAGAATGCCTAGAGGCTGTAAAAATGCAAGGCAGGAGTGTCATAACTGTTTTTTTGTTGGATGGTCCTTTAACTTGGGGGTGGGCAGGTGTCTCAACTTGATCGACTAAAATGGATCAGACAGTCCATCCTACATTCCTGAAGGGACTTGGAAAACAATTATTAGGTGATTGTAAGCAGGTGGTCTGTTTACAGAGTAAAACTGAGATATTTTCTGGAAAGGTCGAAGGATAGGCAGGAACAGAACAGGATGCTGAGAGGAAGTGGGCATAGAGTTGACTCAGGGTGAAAGTGACCGGTCCCATTGCCAGGACGGCTGCACCAGAAAGAATTAGCAGAAGTGGCAGGGAACAAGAGAACAAAGGAGGGCACAGGAGAAAATTCAAGAACTAAAGTGAAGAATTGTGTCTGACCAAGGGTAAAAAGGTGGAAGGTCCCTTTCAGGTAGAGTTTCCCCAGAACATCTAAAAGGTCTTTTGGCAGATACGTCAGGAACAAATGGAGCTATTGTAGGGTGAGAGCTATTGGGAGAGTTTGCATGGAATATTTTGTTTGGGTATAGAGGGAACTGGGATTGGCATTGTTACATCTGTAAACAAGCAGGTGTTGGATAGATGTTACTGCAGAAGTATTTTCTGAGTAGGGTTATAATGGCTTTCCACAAGATTGTAAAGCAGTCAGAGTCTTTCCTTGTTATTCTTTTTACCAGGCACACACATGTAGGATTCCATCCTTTATAATACTCCAGCATTATTTATATATCTGTCTGCTACTTTTAGTTTTTTTCCCTAGGGCTGTTTTAATCCTCAGAACTTGTATAAAGTAATCTCCTACCAGTAGAGGATGTCTGTTTCCTCAGGATACAAAAAGGCTGCCCTATTTCCCTTTTCTGTCAAAGGCAAAAATTCAGTGGGCAATTATGAAGGTCATAATATCTGGGCAGAATGGCTTTGCCTTAGATTTTTATGGAGGAACGTAGTCCTACCTTAGCTGTCATGATTTGCAGGCAGGGTTCTTTTCCAGCCAGGAAAGTCAAGGTCATTTGGCTGAATAGAAAATGTTTAGAATTGTGTTTAGCTAGTTTAGGAACATGAATACATTTTACCTTCTTCCACCAAAATACTAGTACGTGCAGGCACACACACACACACACACACACACACACACACACACACACAGAAAGAGAGAGAGAGAGAGAGAGAGAGAGAGAGAGATTCTTAATGTGAAAAAGGAACTATTCACTGAAGCTGCTCGAGCCAGAAAAGAGTTTGCTATTTAAGCCTCTTGCAGGTTAATGCACAAAGGTTAGACAGAGCATCCCCAGATATCACAAGGAACACTTTGGCTTCTTTATTCTGGGGACGTGGTTTCATATATTTTGTTTAGGTATTTAAAATGACTCTAGTCAGTAAGGACTAGAATGAGAATGGAAGGGAATGACAAGAGGCCACAAAGAAACATAAACAGCCCTCATGTCCACATGACAACACTCACCAGCTCACTTGTACAACTGGACTGGACACTGACCAGTTCTAGGTATTTCTTGTTTCTTATCCATTTAGGCCCCCTTGCTCCCTTACCACAATACAACCTAGCTTTCTCTGATCCTCACAAGTAGCCAAAATTCTCTTTACAAGTTGAAAACAAGCTCCTGCTTGCTTAAACTGGTTCTTAGAATTGGTTGATTTTAGAATAAAATGTATAGCAAAAGGACATCAAACTGGTGTTTGCTGATCTGGTCTTATTTCCCAACATTTTTCTCTTTACATAAGAAATTCCAGCCAAGTTTGTGTGAGCTCATGCGTGCATTTGAATAGAACAAAGTCCTTCCTACTTCTCCTTTCCTCCCCAAGAACACCTAACCCCCTTCCCCAGTTCTTCACAAAAGCAACTTATTCTAGCTCAGATATCATCTCTTTGAAGCTTTCCTCGATTTTACTATATACAATAACCTTCCTGGCACACTGCTCTCCTCTCCAGAAGGTTTAGCTAGTTGATTCATTTATTGACTTTTCAGGACAAGGAAGTCATTTTGTCTGACACGTATGTTTTACTCTCATTGTCAATCAGAGCACATGATTGATTCACAGTACTACCTCCCATTCTCTTGGTATTTACTTATTTATTTATTTATGTATTATGTATGCAGTGTTCCTCCTGCATGTATACCTGTATGTCAGAAGAGGGCACCAGATTTCATTATGGATGGTTGTAAGCCACCATGTGGTTGCTGGGAATTTAACTCAGGACCTCTGGAAGAGCAACCAGTACTCTTAACTGCTGAGCCATTTCTCCAGCCCCCACTGTCTATATATTTTTGTGGAGGGAAAAAACACCAACAAGGTATGTTAGGGATGTGTTAATGATCTTTGATGTTTAATCTGTATAACCAACTTGATGGGATGGAGAATCACCTAGGTGACAAGCTTCTTGTACCTCTGAGACATTTCTAGATGAGGCTAATTGAGGAGTGAAGACCCACCCACTGTGAATCCTTTTCATAGGCTGGGAACCCACAACGAATAAAGATGAGAAAATGAGCCAAGCATAAACACTCACAGACCTCTGCTTCCCGGCTGCAGACACAATGTGATTTATCCTCTTAGGTCATAATAAATAACAACATGATGGATGGAGCCATATTGACCTAGAGGGACTGCCAGACAGACATGTAGTGAAAATGTTTGAGTGGTGTCTTAGTGCTCTACTGCTCTAAAGAGACACCATTGCCATGGTGGTTTAAATAGGTATGGCCCCCAGTGACCCATGTGTTGAGTCAATGCTTGGCCCATAGAAAGTGGCACTATTAGGAGGTGGGGCCTTGTTGGAGGAAATGTGTCACTGTGAACATGGGATTCGAGGTCTCATGTGCTCCAGTTACTCCTCCTGTGATGCGCCGTCTCCTGCTGCTGCCTGCAGATCAAGATGTAAAACTCTCAGTTCCTTCTCCAGAACACGCCTGTAGCCATGTTTCCCACTATGACAATAATGAACTGAACATCTGTAACTGTAATCCAGGCTCAACTAAATATTTCCCTTTATAAGAGTTGCTGTGCTCATGTGTAGCCTGATCTGATTGTGGGAGCCCAGGCAGTGCAACCAGTGCCTGGTGTATGTACTGGCCTTTTGGGGCCCATTCCATATGGTAGGATGCTTGTTCAACCCCAATCGATGCAGCAGGAAGAGGCTTGGTCCTACCTTGCCTCAATGTGCCACGCTTTGGTATCTCCCCACTGGAGACCTTGTCCTTTCTGAAGAGCAGATGGGAGATAGGTTGGATGGGGCATGGGGGGTAGCAGGAGGAGGGCAGTGAGGGGGAACTGTGTTTGGTATGTAAAAAGAATAAAAAATAGAATAAGTTATAATTAAAAAAAAGAGTTGCTGTGATCAAGGTGTCTCCTCACAGCAGTAGAAACCCTAAGACAACGACCATGGCAACTCTTACAAAAAGAAAGCATTTAATTGGAGCTGGTTTACACTTTCAGAGGTTTAGTTCATTACCAGCTGACAGCATGCAAGCAGACACTGTTCTGGAAAAGCAGCTGAGAGTCCTACATCCGGCTCCACAGGCAACAAGAGGAGAGCAAGAAGTCACTGGACCTGACTTGGGCTTTTGAGAACCTCAAAGGCCACCTTCAGTGACACACTTCTTCTAACAAGGCCAAACTTCCTAATCCTTTCAGAAAGTGCCACTCCCTGTTGTGACCAAACATTCAAATCTATGAGCCTATGGAGGCCATTCTTATTCAGACCACAAGTGGATAACGACAATGTTGTATGCAGCTATAACCAGTCATAAAACTAACTCTTTGCAGCCAACCGTTTTTCTGAATGATGGTGTCCTTTGCTTCACAGATGTGTCTCAGTTTCATGAGGTCCCATTTATTATTTGTTGATCTTAGTACCTGCACTATTTGTGTGTTCTGTTCAGGAAGTTGTCTCCTTGTCAGTGCATTCAAGGCTATTCTCCACTTTCTCTTCTAGTAGGTTCAGTGTACCGTGTTTTATATTGAGGTCTTTGTTCCTCAATTGTAGTTGAGTTCTGTGTAGGGTGACAAATATGGATTCATTTGCATTCTTCTACCTGCAATCATCCGGCTTGACTAGCATCATTTGTTGAAGGTGCTGACTTTCTCCCAGTGAGTGTTTCTGACTTCTTTATCAAAAAATCAAATGTCAATAGATATGTAGATTTATTTATGCTTCATCAATTCTATTTCACTGATTAACATTTCTTTTTTTGTGCCAAAAATGTCATGATGATTTTATTACTATAGCTTTGTAGTACAACTTGGAATTAGGGATAATTCCAATAATTCTTTCATTATTTAGTATTTTTAGCTATCCTAGATTTTTGTTTATGTGTTTCCATATGAAGCTGAAATTTGTCATTTCAAAATATGTGAAAAATTGTGTTGGAATTTGGATGGGGATTGCACTGAATATGTAGATTGCTTTTAATGGAGATGGCCATTTTTACTATAGTAACCGTACTGACCCATGAGCATGGGGATCTTTCCAACTTCTAATATCTTCCTCACTTTCTTTTTTCAATAAATTTTTATCATATAGATCTTTCACTTGCTTGGTAAGAGTTACCACAAAATATTTTACATTACGTGAAGCTATTGTGGTGGGAGTTGTTTCCCTGATTTCTTTCTTAGCCCATGTGTCATTCATATATAAGAGGACTACAGATTTTTGTCATTTGATTTGGTATCCAGATATTTTGCTAAAAGTTTTCTCAGGTGTACAAGTTTCTTGTCAAAATTTTTAGTCATTTATTTATACTATCATATCATTTGCAGATAAAGATGCTTTCTCTTCATCCTTTACAATTTGTATCCCCTTGATCTCCTTCAGTTGTCTTATTGCTCTAGGTAAGACTTCAAGTACTGTATGGGATATGTATGGAGAGAGTGAACAGTCTCGTTTTGTTGCTGGTTTTAGGGGATTTGCTTTGAGTTTTTCTCCATTTATACTGATGTTGGCTATGGGCTTACTGTAAACTGCCATTACGTTTAGGTATGTTCTTTGTATTGCTAATCTCTCCAGAACTTTCATGATGGAGGACTTGGATTTTGTCAAAGAACTTTTCTGTATCTAATCAGATGATGCTGTGGTTTTATATATTTGTGACAGGTCTACATTACATTAGACTATTTGAAAAATTAAAAAACAAAAACTTGCCTATTTCCTTATTTTACCTTCAATGACTATATCTTATAATTGAGAATGCTTAATCGTTTTACAAATTTCAATTTTATTTATTTGTGTGTGTTGGGGGCAGGGGTATGGCAAGCATGTGTGGTCAGAGGACAACTTGAAGGACTCAGGTCTCTTCTTCGACTTTGTGAGTCCTGGCTGTAGGACTCAGGTCATTGGAATTGGAAGCAAGTGTCTTTCCCCACTGAACACTCTTACCAGTCCTGATATAATTTCAAAAGCAGCATTCTATGCTTAAGCCATTACACTTCCAACTAATTGGCTTCTTTAGCTATTGTCATGGACTGCTACTAGAATTGCCCAGAGATTTCTTTTACTTGTTTTTAGTCTTTGCTTTAATAAATCATTTTTGACAAAATATTTTCACTTGTACTTGTGTTTGGGGTAGAGATAAAAAAATCTGGGTTCTATGAATTGGCTCTTTTTAAACTTTGACTATAAGGTTGTATCAGGTTGACAGATACAGATAACAAGAGCACACTTCCTTATGTTGCTATTTGGAAATACCTCAACATAAAACACTTTCACTAAAATTCTGATTTTTGGATACAACCAAAGCAAAAGTTTGAAAAGTCTGTGAATTGGGAGATAGCTCATCTCTTTTTAGAGTTGTCTAGGAATTTGTTGTCTTCAGAATACTCTCATTTTCTTCACTGTACTTCTGAGGATACAACTGTCAGTGGCTAGTGCTGGTCCTTCGGTGCTCAACTGCATCTGGAAGGTCTCCCATTCTTCTTCCTGCTTAGGTTACAAGCTCACTTTGTCATTGATGTGAAACACTGTTGACTGTTTGTATGGTAAACTCCCCTTCCTGGGCTCCTGAGGCTCCATCACTTAGTACATATGTTCATTGTCCCGGCAGGCAGATCATCTCCCGGGAATGGACTCTTTGAACACCGTGCCCATCTCTGAACTAAAGTCTTGAGAGTGCTGACTGTTGGTCAGTCGTGTCTACTGAGGTGGTAGGTAATGGGCTTTGTGATTGTCAGTAGCATCGCCTGGGGTGAGGCAGCTGAAGGAAGGAAAAGAGGGACCGTATAGCATGCAGGGAAAGAATGGAGAACAGGGACATCGACTGGATCCCTGCTAGATTTTTATCTCTTCAGTGCAAACACATGATTTCTCATATTTACAAACTCAGGCATGCTCAGTTTGTTAAAAAAAAACGACACCAGGGAACTCCTGCAGCTGATAAATATTTTCAGCAAAGTGGCAAGATACAAGATCAACTCAAGAAAATCAGTAGCCCTACTATATACAGAAGATAAAAAGGGCTGAGAAAGAAATGAGAAAAACACTGCCCTTTACAGTAGCCACAAACAACATAAAATACCTTGTGGTAATGCTAACCAAATAAGTGAAAGACCTGTATAGCAAGAACTTTGAGTTTTTAAAGAAAGAAATTAAAGAAGACACCAGAAGGTGGAAAGATCTCCCATGCTCTTAGATAGGTAGGATCAACATAGTAAAAATGGCAATCTTACCAAAAGCAATGTACAGATTTAGTGCAATCCCAGTGAAAATCCCAGCACAATTCTTCACAGACCTTAAAAGAACAATAATCAACTTTGTATGGAAAACAAAAGACCAAGGATAGTCAAAACAACCTTATTCAACAAAACAACATCTGGAGGCATTACCATCCCTGACTTCAAGCTCTATTATAGAGCTGTAGTCCTGAAAACAGCTTGGTATTGGCACAAAAATAGACAGGTAGACCAATGGAATCGAATTGAAAACCCAGATATTAACCCACACATGTATGAACATCTGATCTTTGACAAAGAAGCTAAAAACATACAATGGAAAAAAAGAAAGGATCGTCAACAAATGGTGATGGCATAACTGGATGCTGGCATGTAGAAGAATGCTGATTGATCCATACCCATCGCCATGCACAAAACGTAAGTCAAAATGGATCAAATACCTCAACATAAATGCAGGCACACTGAACCTCTTAGAAGAGAAAGTGGGTGGTACCCTTGAATGAATTGGTACAGGAGAAAGCTTCCTGAACATAACACCAGTAGCACAGACAGGGAGATCAACAATTAATAAATGGGACATCCTGAAACTAAGAAGCTTCTGTAAGGCAAAGGACACAGCAAGACAAAAAGGCAGCCCAAAGATTGGGAAAAATATTCACTAACCCCACACCTGACAGAGGGCTGGCCTCCAAAATTTACAAAGAACTCACGAAGCAAGTCTCCAAAACACCCAAGGATCCAATTAAAAAGTGGGTTACAGAACTAAATAGAGAATTTTCAAGAGAGGAGTCTAAAATGGCTGAGAGGCACTTGAGAGAGTGCTCAACATCCTTAGCAATCAGGGAAATGCAAATTAAAACAACTCTGAGATACTATCTCACTCCTGTATGAATGGCTAAAATCAAAAACATCAACGACAATTTATACTGGAGAGGATGTGGTGAAAGGGGAACACTCCTCCACTGCAGGTAGGAATGCCAACTTTGGAAATCAGTATGGAGATTCCTCAGAAAAATAGGAATCAATCTACCACAAGACCCAGGAACTACACTCTTAGGCATATATCCAAAAGATACCCATTCATACAACGAGGATGTCTGTTCCACTATGTTCATAGAAGCATTATTTGTAATAGCCAGAAGTTGGAAGCCCCTAAATCGAAGAGTGGATAGAGAAAATGTGGTATATTTACACAATGGAGTACTATTCAGCAGAAAAAAACAATGGAATCCTGAAATTTGCAGGCAAATTGATGGCACTACAAGAAACCATCCTGAGTGAGGTAACCCAGTCACAAAAAGAGAAACATGGCATGTACTCTCTCACATATGAATTTTAGACATAAATCTGGGGAGTGCCAGTCTTCAATCCCATGGCCAGAGAGTCTGGGAAACAGAACCTTCATTCAGTGGCTGATGGAAGCAGAGGCAGACTTCCAAGGCTAAGCACTGAGCTGAACTCAAGAAATCCAGTGACAGAGAGGGAGGACTGATGACCAAAGGCATTAAGACTGGGCTGGATTAACCCCCAGAAACAGCTGAATTGACAAGGGGGTAGATCTTGAATCCCAGACTGATGCCTGGGAATCCAGCATGGGACTGATCAAGACCCCCTGAATGTGGGTGTCAGTGAGGAGGCCTCGGTAATCTATTGAGCTTGGGTAGTAGATCAGTATTTATCCCAGGTATACAAATGGACTTTGGACTCCAATCCAACATTGTGAGATGCACTCTCTCTCTGAACTCTTGGGGGAAGGTCTAGGCCCTGCCCTGGATGAAATGACAGACTATGGACACCCCCATGGAGGGCCTCACCCTCTCTGGGGAAAGGAGGGGATATTGGGGGCGGTTGGTGGGAGGGCATGGAGGAGGGGAGGGAAAGGTAAAGGGACCTGGAATTGACATGTGAAGCAACCTTGTTTCTAATTTAAATTTAAAATTGTATATATATATATATACAATAAGGTATATATATATATATATATATATGGCAACAGGAAGTGAACTGAGACACTGAGTGGGATCTTGAACACAAGAAATCTCACAGCCTGCCCCCATAGAGATGCAATTATAAGAAAGCCATACTAACTCCAACAAAGTCCCACCTCCTAATAGTGCCACTCCTTATGAGATTATAGGGAAAAATTACATTCAAACTATCACATGGCAATGGTGTCTCTTCAAAGAAATAAAACCCTAGCTTAGACAGTAGTTGTTATCATAAGTGGTGTATTGCTGTGAAGGGATGTCCACACTTTTGTTTGGAGGATTGAGGACTTTGGACTAGAAAAGCAGTTGAACACTTTAAGTGGAGCTTAATGGGCCTCACCAGTAGGAGTACGGAAGAGAGTGGTGCTGAGAGTGCTTTGAACTGTGAGGGCCTGACTCAGGAGTTTTCAGAGGAGAAGAATGTTAGTATGTGGACTAGAGACTGTTCCTGTGATATTTTACACTCTGGAAGCACAGGCAGGTAGATCTCTGAGTTCATGCAACATGGTCTACAGCCTGAATTCCAGGACTGGTAAGCTTAGACAGTGAAGGCAACGATAAAAACCAGAATTCTGTTGAAAATGTATGTGAAGGAGGGGCACTGTTCCATCTTCAGGAAGCAATAGAAATTTTAGCTTATCACATGTGATTCTGGCTTTAGAGTGGTGGTTCTAAACCTTCCTAATGCTGCAACCATTTAATATAGTTCCGTATGATGTGATGAACCACAACCATAATGTTATTTTCACTGCAGATTCATAGTTGTAATTTGGCCACTGTAATGGATTGTAATGTAAATATCCTATGGTCTAAGGATACCCCTTGTGAATGGAGTTTTCAATACCACCCCCAAAGGGGTCCTGACCACAGGTAAAGAAATACAGCTTTAGAGCCATTATATGAGAAAGGGGTTATAGAATCTTTCTCCACAACTAAAGAAAGGTGATGAGGCCAGGCAAGGGTCATGGTTGTTTGTATTTGGATGTTCAAAGAGGTCAATGCATGAAGTTGAATAAATAAATCAGTGAGTAAATGAATAAATAATTTTATTAATTCTTGGACAATATCACACAATATATTCTGATCTTATTTACCCCGCAATCCTCCCCCTAACTCCTTCCAAATCTACCCTCAGCTCCCTACCCAGACGTTTATGTCCCCTTTCTTAAAAAAGAAAAGAATCCATTGACTCTCCTTCAAGATTTTCATAATTAATGTCTGAGCCTTACATCATTTCAGAGTCTACACAGAATGCATGGTAGCCCCATGACCAGGTTGGCCAGAAGTTGCCTTATTTGGTGTCAATCATGATTTATGTCCATCATCCCTTCATGAGAAACACTGGAAACCTGGTGTTTGAGAGACTGAACTTCCAGCACAGGGAAAGCACGGATTTGACAAAAGTCTCACGTCCCAGCAGGGCTAACAAAGCCTGAATACCACTGCATAACCTGCATACACCTGGGCACAAAGGGCTTGGAACATTTCTGGACAGCTTGATCATTTCTGCACACAGCTTCTTGAATGAAAGGTCAGCTGATTTGGGACAAGGAAAACCTTGTGCTTCCATGGGTCTCTGTACTTCACAAGGTGGGCTCTGCCTGCAAATCTATTGTCAATCATCCATGCTGTATGTATTTATTAGTCATTCATCTATGTTTTTTGTGCTGTTCATTCTAAAACCCAGGGCCACAGGAATGCCAGACAAGAACAAGCTAATAACTCACAAACTCAAGATTAATGATGCAGAGAGTTAAGTAGAAAATAAGATATGGCTACTGTTGGAGCCAGGTAGGCGGGGGCAGATTATGGTACCCCACAGCCTGAGTGCCAGAAATAAACCATGGTGCCTATGGAGAATCTGAGATGATGAGGCAGATGTGAGTTCAGACAATTGAGCTGAGGAAGCAGCATTGTCAACTGCGTTCCTCCTCTCAAGGGTGATGGTACCTGTGGGAGGATGGATGAATGACAGGAGAGAAGTGTAATGCATGCTCACAGAAATATCCCTGAGACAATTCTAGCTGCTTTCCCAAAGCTAAGGGCTTCCAGGGATGTTTGCACATAGGTTGGCAAACAACAAGGATGGGTCAGGCTGGGAGAGAACTGTGGTCTGGATGACCTGGGATTCTCAGAATGAGGTGGGTGAGGCCTCTGTGACCTCACAATAGAACCCTGCCCTAGTAATGCCAGGGTCTTACCTGAGGACAAGCCAGAGTCCAGAAGGAGGGCTTGCATCACAGCAAGTGCATGTGACTTGGTAAGTTTGGGCTGTTTTCTGGGATGGACACTACCTGAAATTAATCATGTGAGTGACTCACTCAGTTTGAGGCACTTCTTTATTGAGATCTTAAATGGGGACAATGAAACATATGTAAAATGACCCAACATAGTGAGGTATTTGAAATGTCCCAGCCTGAGGACAGCTCATCCTAAGAAGAGCTAGAAACAGCAGGAGTCAGAAGTCTCATAGCAGTGGGACTGGCCCTTCAAGACCACATGGAGGGAAACCCCTCCACTCACAGAGAGAGAGGCCTTGGGATGAAGCCACACAGGTGGATCTGCACCAGGACTCCAGCCTCTGACCTAGGTGATAAGGATGGAGGGTTCCTGTTTATGTACCCACATTAGACAATCACACGTAGGTTGATCAGGGATTGTGGGCAAAGCATCCCTGGCACTGTTATCTGTTCTTCCCTGATAATTCTGGTCCCTGGTGGTAACAATGTTTTCATTTATACTAAGATAGACATAGACAGCTGCCATGATTTGGGAACAGAATCCAATGTCACTGTCACAGGAAGCACCGTGGCAGTACTCTACTTCTAATTCTGTGCTTATACAGGTTTTCACTTGGATGTGTTTAGAGGAATCTTTAGGCTCTGTGGAGGGAGAAATATACACAGGATTCCTGGGAGGAGGGCATAATTTAACCTCACTGTGCTATACTGGGTGCAGGGTGATAAAGGATATGAGGCACAATGTGGTTCTTTAACAGGACCTGTGCTATAGCTGTAGAAAAAGCTGCAGTAAGTATCTGTAAGATGTGTGACAAAGAACTAGTGTAACAAGGACTCAGGAAGACAACACCCACAACTCACTGGAGAAAGAGGCCATGGGATGTCCACACCCAGCCTGTATCACATGAGAAGACTTCAGGCTCCAGCCTGGTGCAGAATAAACTCTGCCAATGGGACCAAGCCAGGGACAACCATCAGCTAAGGCAGCCCACAGTGTCAGGACAGGTAGGGAGTCTGTCAAAATCATTACTGCAGGGGTCTGAATGGACTTTCCTTCTAGACAGCATGATCCTCATCTTTTGTAACTATCGGGTGGGCCCAGCATGGCTGAAGTCAGGGACACAATAAGAAACACAACTACAGCCATCTCCCTAACCTATCCACATTTACATTTAAATTATATGTAAAATTTAATGAAGAGAGGCCTCTGAAGAGAGTGTCAACTCAGTGCATAGTCTATCACTTAAGGCTTGAGCCTCCAGAATGTTAAAGATAATTACTGGCACCACCCACCTGTTTGTGACATCCCCACAGGGAGCACATGCTTCACAGGTAGGAGTGCTTCTCATGGGCTTCTCTAGACATGAACCTTCCTGGCAATCATCTTTACATTCGGCTCATAGGCCCTTCCCAGAATGGCCACAGACACTGATGCCATACTCTATCCGTTTTATTTTCAAACTTAAGCTTTTACTGAGGAGACCTGAGTTAATATATTTGTGGTTTAATCTGTATGTATGTCTGAGTGGATTTTGTCAAATTTCTTCAACTAACCACAACCTGTATTTGTGAGAAAAGGTGACAGCTGCTGAGGCAGAGTCAGCACCTGCCTTGGGACTCCAGTTTCCAAATGACAACAGGAAGAAGCTCTGCTGCTATACAGATCTCCAGAGTGACATTCTCAGAAGTCATTGACTGTTTCATGGCAGGACCAGGTAAGGGAATTTCATGACATCCTGATTTCTGGGCAATCCTCCTGCAAGCTACATTTAATAGTGGTGATGGGAGAGGTTGCACCCCAACATTTTCCATCAGCTGGATACCCAAAATACTGCAGATAGCACACTTAAAATCTCTTGACAAGAGAAACTTATTAATAAACTGAGCAGCAGAAAGGAGACACCAAGAGGTGAATTGTGCACATTAGGGCAGAGTATGATCCTTCCCTCCTGAACATGCTGGTCCCAGGGGTGAAGTTCCCTGGAGGAGAAGGACTAGATGTGAGCTTCTAACCAAGAAATGATCTTAAGAGAAGCCTTCAGGGACTGCCCCTAGATACCAGCCCAAAAGACATCTGTGTGCATCGACAGCCTTTGAGTTTCACAGAGGGAGGCCTGGCCTCTGTGACCTCACATGAGGGTCACTGTCATAGTTCCAGGTGTGACCCAGTTCAGAGGGCAGCAGACCCCATTACAGTGGACCAGGATTTAGCTCAGGAGAAGGTGAGCAGAGATCTATTTCAGGTAAGAGATTGCAGAAAATTCTGTAGGTAAAGAAGTGATCTCAAACCAGTGTACTTGGCAGGGGGCTCTCTGGAAAGGGGTGCCAAAGGCAGATTCGGTGTTTGAGGGGTGTTTGATTGACACGGCGGATATGACCATAAGGATTACAAAAACAAGGATCAGAGAAATACCCTCACTGAACATGGCCATGTAGGACATTCAGAGAGAGGTTGCCATCCCCACACAGCAAAGAGATGTTTTGATGATCTGTAGAGACTTGTATGTCTTAGCAAGGCATCCTCTAGATGATGGGAGGACTAACCTCTGCTGTTTCATTTAACTGGGATAATCCAACAAGGGTTCAGACCACAGAAAGGAATTATACCATGGTGTCTTGGTGGGACTCTCCTGATTGTATCTCACAACCTAGAAGCAACAGACTTTCCACATGAGCTCACAGATACCCCTCCACCATAGACAGTCAGCTGTGCAACAGGAAGGAGTTACCCAACCAGCTTTCTCGTCTACATATTTCATCTTTGTATAATGTATAATTATTTCATGTGAACTGTGGGCTACTTGTGTCTGAGTCTGTGCATGTTTCCCCGAGGACAGGTCAGTGATGTTCTGAGAACATTTAAGATGCTACTTTTTTCCACTATCAAAGTCCACCTGAGTTTTCTTTTAATTTTTCAGAAATGCTGAAAATAGACCAAGATTTAGTCAATGATTTGGGCAAGCATCGGCTGGAAAGGATCGACTACTTCCACCCTAATGATAAACAGGTACCCTGATCCTGAAATAGGCTGGACACCAAATCAGAAGATACGGGGAACCAAGGAATTCCCTTACCCTAAAAAAGCCGGGGCCCATTAGAGAGGAAATATGGGCCTGGGCCAATCAAATGAAGGAAGTAGGGGACAAACCAAGAAAAAGAGTGTGCCCACGCCAATCCTGACCCTGAAAAAGCCCGGGCCCAAAGCAAGAAGAGACGTGGGCCTGGGCTAACCCCTGACCCTCAAGAAGCCTGAGCACAATTATCCAGAGTAATTCAGCCTGGGCCAATCAAAAAAAGAGGCCTGGGCCAGACCAAGAAAATGAGTGTGCCCAGGCCAATCCTGACCCTGGAAAAGCCCGGGCCCAAAGCAAGAAGAGATGTGGGCCTGGGCTAACCCCTGACCCTAAAGAAGCCTGAGCACAATTATCCAGAGAAGTCGGCCTGGGCCAGTCAAAAAAAGAGGCCTGGGCCAGACCAAGAAAATGAGTGTGCCCAGGCAAATCCTGACCCTGGAAAAGCCCGGGCCCAAAGCAAGAAGAGATGTGGGCCTGGGCTAACCCCTGACCCTAAGGTAGCCTGAGCCCAGCTTTCCAGAGAATTAGTCCTGGGCCAATCAAGACAAATAGGCAAAGGCCAGACCAATTAAATAAGTGTGCCCAGGCCAATCCTGACACTAACACTGAGGAAATTTTGGCATGAAAACTAATGTCATATCAGCACAGATTAATCCCCTCCCAAAGAGGCCTGAACCCATGGCCAATCTAAAGTGAAACAATACCGTGGATGCAATATGTACCATAAGTTTCTCTGATCAAGGCCTTAATTTCAGTTCGTATTTTACACCTAACCAAGACATGAGTGCACACAAATGCCAGCTTGTCACGAATAGCCTTGGACTAACCCTCTATACTTCCTATAATGATTGATATAAGTGACATTCTGAGTACCAGACATGTGGCTGTCACACACACACTTCATTCAATCCAACATCATCAACACGCTAAAAAGGATGACAACATTGACATAAAGTGCCAAGGGCTCACCTCAATAATCCAGTAACATGGATGCATCTTATCAAAAAGGGTGTTACAATGCATCCTGCACCTTATCTTGACTGACTTTTTTTACAGAAAATTTCCCATACTGGACTCTAGCCATAGACTGCTCACCAAGAATCTTGGGCAAACCCAGAACTTGATCTGATTAACTGAAATCTGGATGCATTATCCCCTCCAAGAAGGGGAACTTGATAATGACATGATTATTGACACAGGTTCAAGGCCATAAGCAGACCTGAAAGGAAACCCAGCACCACCTTGAACCCTAAGTAGACTGGACTAATATTAAATGGTGTGTGGACCACACCCTCTAGTCAACCCAGGACAAGATCCCACCACAAAGGAGGGAGTCTTTAAAGGGACAATGTATCACCTTAATGACCAAAGGAAATGGACATACCCATGCCGGCGACCTGTTCTGAGGTCAGGCATTATCTCACTTCAATTTTTTTGGGACAAATCATAGCCTCATTTGTGACCCAGGTCAAAGCTCACTTTAATGACCAGAGGAAATGGACATACCCATGACGCTGACCTGGCCAGAGGTCAGTCATTTTCTCCCATCAATTTATTTTGTTGGACAAATCATAGCCTCATTTGTGACCAATCCATGCTATTTTACTTAGAAATTTGGACTCAACCACAACCATTCTTGTACTGATGTTTGACATAACATCATAGACCATGAACTGTCATCGATGCTAATCTAGATTCTTCTTTGCGGTACCACTGTAGTTTGTGGGATGTACCTGATATTCTTCCAACACATGCAACAAACAATCTCACAGCAGATGGATTAAGACCTCATTGCTCTCTAGTAATCTGAGCCTCACATAAACATCAAATAACAATAGCACAGCTCGGGATCAAGGGTGTGTGGGCCGCACCCTGCAAATCCTCTGTGCCCAGGTCTTCCTGTATGAGGACTTTAAGAGAGCAAAGATAAGAAGCTGATGTGAAGTCTGACCTAGGCCACACCTACTGCTCCAAGAAGGTTGAACACACTTTAACACCATAAGTGGGTTGTCTGAAGAATGACATACTCTGAGTACCTTCTACTGCCTGGGTCTAGAATTTAAGGGTATGTGGGCCGTACCCTGTCTCCATATGACCCAGTGCTACACTCACAACAACGGAGCAAGGACTATGCAATGACCTATAATGGAACAAGGAACCACTCTCCATAGTATCAAGAAGAATTAGATAGCACAGGGTCTCATTGTGATTCACCTGAAACCCGCCCCCCACCATTCCATCCATCAAAAACCTTGGATTCTTAAACATGGCTTCTGCAGCTGATGACTGAAGGACAATCAAAATCAGTGTGGGCTGGGGGCTAACTTAACACCAAGAAGCCTGAGTCAAGTTTAACTTTGACAGTTGTAGGCATCATTCTCTCTTCATCACACCCAGGAGATTTCTTACGTTGGAGGATCAGGAGCACAAGCCATGGCCATCTGGATATCTGGGCCACACAAGAGAAACAATACTAGGCAGACACTGGCATGATGGGTGTGTGGGCCGCACCCTGGAGTTATTGTTTGCCCAACTGCTACCTGGTCTTCAAGATATCCAGGACAAGAAGATCTCATGTGTGTTAGCAACACCAACACCTCAGAGGAAACTGGAACCACCACAAGGACCAACACAGGCTTCAAGACCTAGCCACTCTGTTGACCTTGACCCTCAACTTGGCCACTCCATTGACCTTGACCTTCAATTTGATATGATTAAAAACATCAAGTAACTTAACAATGTGATGACCCTGGAGTACAGACACAATTTTAATATGGATGTCTAGTAGAAAACACTGAAATTGACACTCTGGTGGAAACTAGACATAGTTTCTTATGTTTCCTTAGTGTCACCAGAGCCTACCTAGAAGAAGCAAGACTTATACCCTGATTTCTATAGATCTCTGCCTTTATCTTATGTACCTAACACAGTGTCATCTTACAATATTCTTTGTCAAGTATCTCCTGCCCTACCATTATGTATATAGTCTTCAATAAATATAAGGTTTAATTGTGTCCTAGCGTTTCAATTGCTGTGAAGAGACACCATGGCGATGGCAACTCTTATAAATGAAAACATTTATTGGGGTGACTTGCTTACAGGTTCAGAGGTTCAGTCCATTACCATCATGGCAGGGAACATGGCAGCATGCAGGCAGACATGGTGCTGGGGGAGTTGCAGAGAGTCCTATAGCTTTCAGGAAACAGGAAGTCCACTGACAACTGGGTGGGATCCTGAGCATAGGAAACCTTAACGTCCACCTCCACAGTGACACACTTCTTCCAACAAGGCCATACCCACTCCAGCAAAGCCACTCCTCCTAATAACACTCGCTATGAAATTTGGGGACTAATAGCATTTAAACTCCCACAATCTTCCTCCATGGCTTATCCATAAATCCTTATTTTGACTGTTTCCCTCTATTTTTGACTGATGTTTTTCAATCTCTGAATTGAACTTGAGAACAGGCTGTGATGTAGATAGATACCTAGCACATCTCTTTCTTCCCTGTTGTCTTCAAGTGTATGGCAATGTATTTAATGCTCAGACCTCAAGATGATCAGCCCACCTCTGACCACGGTTTGTATATTTACCTTTAGTTGGAATCTCCCAAGGAAATCTAAACCAAGGGTCGTAGTAGCCAGAACCCTCACCCAGTCATAAAATCACAGAGAAGAAAATTTCCATATTGGAAGTACAGCTGCCAATCTCTCCTAGTACCCAAATCAGATTCGCACCAATTTTTAGAAATTTTAGGATATGGGGGAGGAACAATTTAGTGCGGATCATAGGGCACAAGGCATCTTGAAAGTGTTTTCCAGCAGTGTCCACATGAAGATGAATGGACGGCCAGTGAGATTCCATGCATGGAGTCTAAACACAGGTACAGATCCATATTATAGAGATGTGCCATGGGAACTTGAGCCACTGGTGTGTGTGCTTGGGGTACCTGAGAACTGGAAGAACATTTTTATTACAGCCTGTAGACTTCAGGGTTTCTGACTGATCCCTTCTTCTTCAGAGAGTATGGGGGTACCTGGATCACACACAGAGAGATAGTGTCCCCAGGTTCATGGTGTATTCCAAAGGGACAATTGCTGTGGGTTTTATCTCACCCTATCACACTATAGACAATGTCAAAAAATGGTTTGCAGAGCCAAGACCGTAACACACAATCCCACACACAGACGACTAAGTCAGGAGGATAAGTATAGGTTTCCTCTGGGGCTCTGTGTGTCTGGACAACTCATCTCTTTTTAGTTTCCATTGTCCGGATGTGTCACTTTATCCAGTCATCCATCCACTTACTGAAAGGTACCTGTGCTGCCTCTGCATTTGCACATTGTGAACAAAACTGACAGAGATGTTTGTGTTTGGATTCTTGTGTAGGCACAGTAACATGTTATTAAGCAAGGGATGAGAAAAGGGGGCTCTCTAGAATACCATGTCATAAATATGTTGAGCTGGGGAGATGGGTATTAGCTCTCAATGGGTAAGATCATTTGCTGTGCAAGCATGGAGACCTGAGTTTGAATCTTCAACACCCAAATAAAAATCTGGTGAGACCACTTGTGTCCCAGCACCAGGAAGCAAAGACTGACAGATCCTGGAACTCCTGGAAGCCAATCTCACAGAGAGCAATTCAGTGAGAGACCCTGTTTCAAGAGCAAAGGGTTGAAGAGTGGTAGAAGCTGCCTTCAAGAAGCATTCTGCCCTCCCTGTGGTCACTCAGAAGCACATAAGTGCACATGGGCACACTGACACCACACACACACACACACACACACACACACACACACACACACACACACACCCCAAAATCAAACAAAACTCCCAAAACATTGCTTAACCTTTCCAGACTGGGGAAGCAACACAGAAAACTCAAGAGCTAACCAGCAGGGGGCAGTGTTTGCAAAACATGGACAACAGTTACAAAGTAGTGTCCAATTGTTTAATTCCTTCACTATATTTAATTGTTTTTGAAATTCTCTCTCCCTCCCCTCTCTTCCTACCTTCCTCCGTGTGTGTCAGAGAGAGAGAGAGAGTGTGTGTGTGTGTTGTGATGTGTATGTGATGAATATATATCTGAGTAACATGTGGAGTTACAAGAGGCTAGAAGCAAGTACTGGAGTTCCTGGAACTATCTTCAGGTCCTCTGGAAGAGCAGCAAGCCTTCTTAACCACTACAACATCTCCCAGATCCAATGTTTCTTTATTATTTCTCAGGCATGTGTGTATTAGGAAGGGGATAAATCTTCAGTTCCTGTGAGATTTGTCTAGAAATCTTATGTTAAACATGTAAGGACACATTGCCAAAGAAACACCTACAACAGCGTGGTTGGGGGCAAGGACTGTTTCCATGGCATAGAGCTACAGTTTTGAGCTCCAGGCTCTCATAGAAGAGATTTGTGCTGTTTTTTCCCTGTGACTGCTGGGGCCTGGTTTGGGTTCCACACTGTAGACAGCTCCTTTGCAGCAGGATATATCTTTGCTTTGAAGGCCAGCACCAGAATTCTGCAGTGAACACTGACCAAGCACCAGAATTCTGCAGTGAACACTGACCAAGAAAGAGTTGCAAACAGCCACAGGCTCTGACTGAGAGGAAGACAGGGAGCTGTAGAAGACTGGATGGGCAGGATCTGGGGCAGATGGTATTTACACCCATAAAACATAGGGCTTTCAGGAACCAACCAGAAAATACCTGTAATTCAATGGGGGGGAAAAAGCTATGAACATGAGCACGCTATAGGAAAGGCATCCATTTATCTGTTCCAAACATGTCATTTCCTGTGTGTCCTGAGAGCAGTGAAGGCCCGCACTCAAGACAGCTCTATTGTGCTTCCTTCAGGGTGCCTTTTCCCTAAAGTACAGACAGCTGTGGCTAATGCTGCATGGGCTTTTGTCTGTGGCTCGGACACATAAGGATTAGCCTGTAGGTGTTAAGGCTGCTGAACTTACCATCTCTGTGGAGACCCAGTGGAAGCTCCAAAACCTTCAGCAGCTATTCCTTCCTGTGTATGGAGTATTTATAAAATACCTGCAGATGCAGTTTTGAAAGTTGTCCTCGGGTGGGAACATGAACCCATGTATATCATTACTATTGTAGAGTTGATCTCTATTGATTGGCAAAATTAAGAGACTACAAGATGTTCTGAAGCTTGTTGTGGGTTATTCTGATCTCACTGTGATGACACTCCTTGAGACTGGCAATAAAGTTTTCTTAGAATCAGAGGGCAGAGCTAACTACAACCTGACCAAAATTAGCCATAGAGGTTTTGGAGGACAAAGGACATATAGAGAGACACAGGAAATAGTAGGGAGGGGCTTAGGAGAGTCTAGGCTCTTTTGGATCATGGAAAGAAGGAGAGAGGTCACTGGTCACTCCACAGCCACTTCTCTTATCACTGAGGTTCTTACCCTGATATCCAACTCCAGAGTGTTTATTGATAAAGATTAGTTAGATAAACACTTCAATAGCTAAAAGGAGAAATGCCTTGTATTGGTTCAAAGGCCCCACCTCACTCAATGTAATACCACTAGTACCTCAAATTTTAAAGTTGTATTATGGAAGGTTTGTGGAAGTCAAGACTGACTTTCAATGCAAAATGCTACTTTTATGTGTTACTGCACTGGAGCACCCTGCTCTCCAAAATCAGATGGGGTCCTGAGTCACTCATGTCTCACTTTCCTGCTTAGAATTTCTTAAATTATCTAAACTTGGGCCCCGAGGGATGGCCTTCCTCTATTGATAACTCCAGTTCCAGAGGATCCCGCAGCTTCTCCGGCTTCCACAAGCACTAGACATGTGTAAAGGGCACTTGCAAACATGTAGGCAAATCTCTCATACACAGAAAATAGAAACAAATGAATAAAAACAATTATCTGAACTCAAGCATGCAAGGAAATGGGGCACCTGAAAGGCTCTCCAGAGAGGAGCCCTGGCCCACCCCTTTGCAATCCTGAGCCCAGCAGGGCAACATGCAGAAGGAGAGGGGACCTGGGATTCTCTAGGTGCTTGTTGTTTTGCCTAAGTCAGATCATTACTTGGGTAGATAGCTCCATGGGTTCTGGAGAGATGAGACCAGCCCAGAGGGACAAATCTAAGAACTGGCCTCCCACATTCTCCCCAGAAGCCAGGGTACCATCACCTGTCTCAAGCATGATGCCTCTTGGTTTGCCCAGCAGGCCCTGGAGAGACACTTTAGTCACTTGGAATAGTGGGGGCTGGGGAAATAGATACATGCTGTCTGTCTGACCAGAGGGGAGAAGCTAAAGGCTTGGGACGCCGAGCCTCAGGAGTTCTCTAGGATCTTAGTCTTGTAGAGAACACATTCTTCACTAAATCATCTCAGTAGTGCAGGCAGTGAGGTAGGGGCAGGAAAGAGAAATGGTTGTGTTTTTTTTTAAATCAACCTCTTCCTCTTGCTGTGCTCCTCAGTTGCCCTTTGAGTACTATTTTCTGTACACATCTCTCCTGTGTCCCCGGGAACACCATCTTCCTACCCTGGCAGACAGATTTTGTGAGCTGTTTTTCTCCTCTCATAGCTCTTGCATTTTCAGGAAGAGATTAACTCTTGATGTCTTAAGCTGACAAACCTAATACCACACTTGGGACTCAATCGCGGGAGGGGGAACCCTTAGGGATTCTGTTTCCTGCCAGGAGTTTCCAAGGAAGAGGAATGGGCAAACTTTCTAAAGAAATTTGCCCATGACTGTCCCAGTCAGACTGTGTTACGTGTCTGGAGGCTAGAGAGGAACCAGCTGGAGGGAAGTCACTCTTCTGAGTGGGGTTTCCATACTTCCTGTCGCCTGAGAACTTAGTGTTGGTGCAGAAAGATGAAGCACTGACCTCATCAGTGATTTGAAGTCCACACTACCGGTCATCCAGAAGGAACCCCAGCCTCCAGTCAGGTTCAGGAGCCCATCCGTGGGTAAGAACTGCCCTGAATCCATAGCCTTGGGTCCTCACTGCAGGACAGCAAAGGGACATCTCATATCTTCCTCTATCACAGTAGGAAAGCAAAGGGACATCTCATATCTTCCTCTATCACAGTAGGAGAGCAAGGGGACATCTCATATCTTCCTCTATCACTGTAGGAGAGCAAGGAGACATCTCATATCTTCCTCTATCACTGTAGGAGAGCAAGGGGACATCTCATGTCTTCTTCTATCACTCTTGCCTGAGTTTTGGACACAGAATCTCACTTGGTTGACTGCACTCGCCAACGGGTTAGATTGGCTAGAGGGATCTAGATGAGCTCCAGGGATTTGCCTGCCTCTCTGCCACTTCACCCCTCCAATGCCAGGGTTAGAGATGAACCCACTCATACTCATTTCTGACGTGGGTTCTGAGAATACAAACTCTACTCCTCAGGTGTGACTAAGAGACATCTCCCCAGTCTCTCTATAGTATGTATTAAAACAAAGTCTCACTGAATCTGGTGCTCACCAATTGGCTGGACAGGCTGTCCAATGTCCCCATCCCCTAGAGTTTTAATCGTATTTCTTTCCCATTATTTTCCTTTTTCTATTCACAGTGTGGATGGGAGGGAAATGGCTTTCATTTTAAAGGTGGAGATGGATGTTAGGGTACCACTCAGGTTGATCGTTTCACATAAAGCATTTGCTTTTTGTACTTTAGATAAAGTAATACATTAAAAATCAGTCAAAGAAACCAGAATGAAGTTATAAGAACTGAAGACTGTTCCTGGACATGACCCCCATGACACTTGCACAGTGGTTTATCCTCATAGCAGAATGTCATGGTTTTCTGACCATGTTTTTAAGATGCTGTGGTAAAGGATAAGGGACCAGGCTGCTCAGGCTGTGGTTGTCAGTGTGGGTCACAAACTCATGCAAGGTCTCATTTGCCAGGTCTTCCTTGTGGGTGAAGAGGACGATCATGTGCCTCATGACTCCTGCCCCAATCATTTCTTTCACTCTCCTCAGGGCTGTGGCGTCCTGGGCTGTGAAGCGTCCCAGCTGGGTCACCAGTAACAGTACATGGGGTCCTGGCACACACAGCAGGTAGCAGTCTCCAATGTCCTTTCTTGGTTCTGGGCCTTTGACTCAAAGATGGGTGGCGTGTCTACCACTAGGAAACTCCTTCCCTTCCATGTGCCCATCTCTGCCTGGCTGGTCCTGGTCACTGACTGGGCTCCAAGTCTGGACTCGAATGCTTGTCGGCAGAGGATGCTGTTCCCTGTGGCGCTTTTCCCACAGCCAGATTCGCCCACAATGAGCATCCTCAACTGGTAGGCTTCCCCGTTCCCGTGTGCGAGAGAAAGTTTGTGCCTCACTTTGCAATTCTTCAGACTGGGATGTCGTAGGTCCTTGCAGAGAGCTCCTCGTTCCCAGAAAAATGGGTGTCATTCATATGTTCCCAACTGCTTGCCTAGAATTTTAGGTGGTTCTTGTCCTTTATTAAGTTCCAGAACACACAGGCACGGGGTGGGATTGCCACAGGAGGGAGAGGCTCTGTTCCATCTGGACCACAACAATTATGTCATTTCTGAAGAGAAGGTCCCTGTGCTCGCCCCTGGAGAATGCTCAGGGCAGATCCCAGGTAACCTGGTTGTGAAATAAGTGTGAGTTTAGAAGACGGCAGAGATGAGAAGTCATGAATGACAAAATAGAGTCACAGCTTTTACCCCCAGAGTTCCAGACACGCTGTGTCAATGTGCTCAGCATATGTCCTCCCCCAGAGGTTATTTCAGGTGGAAGAGCTGCAGCCACTCACACTCAGAGCCAGCTGGGTACCTAGGAGGCAAAGTGGGCACTGGGAAATGAGATGAGGGATGGTGACAGTTAAGTCTGGGAAATGATATGGAGTGGGCTGCTGAAGAAAGTGGAAGAGAAGATGGTTAGGATCACTTAGAAGTAGACACACTAGAAAGGCCACCTCTTTGCCAGGTGTGCTGGAGGGACCCCAGGAAGCCAAGAGCTCAAGTCGCCAGCATAGAAGGACTGAGGATATGGTACTGGCTTATGAGTCCCAATGAATACTAAGTGCACTATAGCCTCCTAAGAATCTGTCATTTGTGGAAGCTGAGGGTGTGGCTCATAGTGGAGTGTCCATCCAGCAGGTGTGAGCTCAGAGCTCAATTCTCAGGATCACAGAAAACAAACGCATTAAAACCTGTTTTACTCCTTTTACTCTGTCTCTCCCTTGGTGTTCTGGGGTGTTCTGTAAGAAATAGTAAATTTAGGGATTCCTCTTCTATTTCTTTTCTTTCTTTCTGTTTTTGGGACAGTTGAGAGGAGATGAGGGGAGAAAGAGAAACTTTATCATTGTTTAGTTTCGGCCCTTGGAACTCTGGATGCATGTTGGTGTCACATTTCCCCACATTGTGTGGAGGAGAGTGTCACAGTGGAGTGTGTGTGTGTGTGTGTGTGTGCATGCACTTGTGTGTTCACATGCATGTGAGCGTGTGTGTATGCATGTGTGTGTTTGCAAACATGTGTGTGTGCCTCTGTGTGCATGTGTGCAGGTAGGTGCACACATGTGAGCACATGTGCATGTATATGTACATGTGTGTACATGAAAACAACAGTGGCTTGGACATGAGAGATTTGGAGACATGGGGAACAAACAGCAATGGCCTTTTTGTTGTTGATCTTACCTGGATGAATGACCAAAACAGGTGGGATAAAGAACAGTGACTCCCATTCTTAATTACTTTATGACCTTGGTTTTTCTTACCTTCGGCTATAGTTCCATATGTGCACTTCTCAAGGCCTTACATTCTTTTCTGGAACCCAAACTGGACAGGAAGTAAAGTCAGGTCCTTTTGGGAACTGGTAAGACACTTTGACTCAGGTAACTCAGGATAACTCTCCTTGCATGACGATTTCCATGGCTAACTCTCCCACCTATGTTTTAGTTTCAAACATCTAAGTAACTCGCTGGAGTGAGGCAGGGTCATCCTAGTACAATGTGCCATTGCTTTCCTTGCTCATGGGAAAGCAGAGGTTTTACTACAGGTGAACTTATGATCTGCACCAAGCTAGAAGTATAAATATGGGAAGCATTCTTCTATGAGTGTTGGGATTAAAGACATGTGCCAACACTGCCTGGCCCACCTTTTTTTTTAATGGCTGAAGAATTCAGTTTGCAAGAAGAATAACCTATAATTCTTAACAAGAGCTGCACGGTATTGGAGAATTCCAACGCAGACATAATTAAATAACTTAAAACTACTCTGACCACATATATATTACAAGTCAGTATTACTCAGGTTACTGAATGAGTAAACCTTGAGTTTAATAATACATAAGCCTATGTTTTTCTAATATGTATTTATATGTGATTGAATAGAATATAGATGTTCTTACTACCTATTCAGTATCCTTCATTATTTTATTAAAATATTACTTAGAGCAATGTGGCAAAGACAGAATAAAGTGTTCTCAAGTTTTAGCCTATAAAACCAGTACAGGGTTCCATTGTTTTTTTTTCTGCTGAGTAGTACTCCATTGTGTAAATGGACCACATATTCTCTATCCACTCTTCAGTTGTGGGGCATGTAGGTTGCATGAAGGATCTGGCTATTACAAATAATGCTATTATGCACATAGTGGAACAGACGTCCTTGTTGTATGAATGTGCATCTTTTGGATATATGCCTAAGAGTGGGATTGCTGGGTCTTGTGGTAGACTGATTCCCATTTTTCTGAGGAATCTCCATACTGGTTTCCAAAGTGGCTGTAGAGTTGGCACTCCCACCAGCAGTGGAGGAGTGTTCCCCTCTCTCCACATCCTCTCCAGCATAAACTGTCCTTGTCGTTTTTGATGTCAGCCATTCTGAAAGGAGTAAGATGATATCTCAGAGTTGTTTTGATTTGCATTTCTCTAATGGCTAAGATGTTCAGCACTTTCCCAAGTGTCTATCAGCCATTTTAGGATACTCCATAGAGAATTCTCTATTTAGTTCTGTACCCCACTTTTTAATTGGATTTTTTGGTGTTTTGGAGACTTGCTTCTTAGGTCATTTATAAATTTTGGAGATCAGCCCTCTGGGGTTAGTGAATATTTTTTCCTATTCTGCGGGCTGCCTTTTGCTCTTGTTGACTGTGTCCTTTGCCTTACAGAAGCTTCTCAGTTTCAGGAGGTCCCATTTATTACTTGTCAATCTCAGTGTCTGTGCTACTGGTGTTATGTTCAGGAAGCAGTCTCCTGTATCAAGAAACCATCCTGAGTGAGGTAACCCAGTCACAAAAAGACAAATATGGTATGTACTCACTCATCTATGGATTTTAGATATGGATCAGGGGAGTCCCAGCCTACAATGCCACAGTCAAACCTTCATCCAGCTACTGATGGAAGCAGAGGCAGACACCCACAGCTAAACACTGAATTGAACTCCTGAAACCCAGTGACAGAGAGGGAGGAGTGATGAGTAAAGGGGTCAAGACCTTGCTGGTGAAACCCACAGAGGCAGCTGACCTGACAAAGGGGAGCTATTGGACTCCAGACTGATGGTTGAGAGGCCAGCATGGGACTGATCCAGACCCCCTGAATGCAGTGTTAGTGAGGAGGCCTCAGCAATCTCTGGGGCCTTGGGTAGTAGATCAGTGTTTACCATGGCGTACGAATGGACTTTGGGAGCCCATTTCACATGGAGGGATGCTCTCTAAGCCTGAACACATGGGGAAGGGCCTAGGCCCTGCTCTGGATGAAATGACAGACTCTGGAGATCCCCCATGGAAGGCCTCACCTTCCCTGGGGACCGGTGTGGGGATTGGGTGGGGGGGCTGGGGAACTGATGGAGGGGCAAGGGAGTAGGGGAGGGAGAGGGAGCTGAGATTGACATGTGAATCAAGTTTTTTTTCTAATTTAAACAATATAT